TAGGGTTGCCTAGCAACCATCCTCATCGCCTGTACTGTACGCGATAAAAAGGTCGCAGGTGACGTCATGAAAGTAGAATTCTACTTGTCGTGACGTCACTCGCGACCTTTTTATCACGTACAGGTACACTTGGCCAATCATAAAACTGGTACGCATTTTCCTATTGTGTTATTTTGTGTGAATTGACTTGACAAAAAGAGTCAAGTTAGTGTCATATTTAAACCAATCATAACCAATCATGGTTGCATTTACTTTTATTCAGCTTTGACGTTGCCCAATACGTTGACAAAAACTGTCTGACCGTCTGACCTAAGTTTTTCAAAACACTCTTTCTTGTTTAAGCCTGACTCACACTAGGCAAATTTAAGAAATATATATTGCCTGTACCAGTTTTATGTTTTGCCAAGTGTACAGGCGATGATGATGGTTGCTAGGCAACCTGACGTCATGAAAGTTATGAAAGTAGAATTCTAGTGGAATTCTACTTGTCGTGATCCGTACCCTGGGGCCGGATTACGAACTCTCGATTCGAACCGAAACCGCCATGGATTTCGAACGCATTCTGATGCATTTGCATAGAGTGCGTTCGAAATCCTTGGCGATTTCGGTTCGAATCGAGAGTTCGTAATCCGCCCCCTCTGGACCGAAATTAAATATAGGTTCCGTGCCGGTTCCGGTCCACAGCGTCATGACAAATATATCGGTTCCGTTACGGTTCCGGTTCTAAGAGAAATATTTCGATTCGGTTCGGACCAATAATTTCGGCTTTAACGGTTATCATACCGGTAGCTGGGCCGTAGCCAGGGAGGGGGCATTGGGGGGCAATGCCCTATCTTTCAAATGATCATGCCCTACCTTTAATGTTTGACGTTTATACAGGTCATCACAGAGGAAGTTTTTCGTTTCGAAAGAGTGCAAATGCAAGGATAATACGATAATACACACTACTACACAGAATTGCTTATCGGCCTCATTTTTGGAAACTGCGGCCATATGGTGTAACACTACAGTGACTTTATTACCACAGTGGCGACAATTGCGGTCTCATTTTTGATTGGTTCAAAAATCCCATATGTTTATATTGAAAATGCCGCCATCTTGTTCCCAACCTCTTGTTACTTTTAAATATGAATATATAGGATTTAGGCAAGAATCGTAAACTCTACAGGATTGCTCAATCCCATAAGACAAACGTTCATAAAAACATCGAAGATGGCGGTATGCGAATGACGTCACGCAGTCCTTGATCGGTTTGTGTTTTTTATGACAGTGCATTATTCTTGCATTTTCAAACGTGAAAAGTTGTTATTTTGAGGTTATTTCCTTTGAAAACTAATTAGAAAGACGAGTTTGTTTGCTTTTGTTTATCAATTAGCCAAACATATTGCCAAAAAGTCAAAAAAACGAAGGGCTGGAGTCAAGCTGGCCCTCGGATTCGTTTCAATTTTTTTTTTGTGTATGAAAATGAGCACAATTCGCATAAATACTGGCACAATTGAGCACAAAACGGGCACATCTGACTACAGTTGAGAAACAGTAGAAAACCAAATGTGGGGTGCCGAGCCGGTTTAATTTTTGCATTTCAATATCAAAATATAAGCGAAACGGGGTTGCAATAGTGTGCTTTATTTTTTACTGACCCTACCTAGGTACTTCTCAATTATTATTCATTAATTTAATAGGTACTAGAACGATTTAATATGGACATTCAAAGTGAGCTTATTTCATAAAGCCAAATAGTGATACCTAATTTAGATTCTCATAATCATATTCCAGAAAAACATTGCAAGTTTCCCATATTTTCCATGCGTTTTCATAGTAAACGCGCCAGTAAAGGAATTTATTTACATATTTATTTATTCACTCTTCACAAACCCTAATTTTTATTAGTAATTACATGCAAAGGAAACTTACATCTAAGTAGATAAAAGCAAAACAAATGCTTGACTAGGAAATACTAACTAGCAATACACACAAATAAAAGAGCGATGTCCTGATACAACAAATCCAGTGTTATAAAACTAGAAAATGCTTGGGGTCGCGAGTATTTTCAGCCACGAGTCTTTTATGCTTACACACATTAAATGAAACTTTAAATTTACACTTATAACACTAGATAAATCTGAATTTACGATAAAATAGTTGTCAGCACAAACTAAACATCATTCGTATCAGCGGCCATCTTGAAAATCAGGCATGCGCGTGACGTCACAGCAATTGTGAACAAATTTAGCCGATTGAGCAATCCTGTAGAGTTTACGATTCTTGGGATTTAGGTGAACATCCATCATAAAACATGGAAAACAACGTATTTGATGAACCTAATAATGGTCATCAAATATGCCGATTTTAATTTTTTATGATAGATGTCTATTTAAATCTTATATATTAATATTTGAAAGTAACAAGAGGTTGGGAACAAGATGGCGGCGGGAACTCTATTGTCGCCACTGTATGTAAAGGTTTATTTAGCCACTGTAGTGTAACACTATTGACCACATCATCAACTACGTCTTCAGCTATTTGCGACAGCGGTCGTAGTTCAGAAAAAACACTTATGATGAAAAATTTTATCATGTGATCATAACCTGTGGTGAAAACACCCTACGTCAAGGCGAGAAACGACACGTTGCTTACGTAATCACTGGTTCTTTGGTGTGGTGGGGGGCTTGAGATTTGATATACACAGGCGGTATGATAATAAGCTATCCTGTGAAATTAGTGCAAGAAACAAGTATTTCTGTCACTTTCTCTTACATCATGTAGTTGAAGAGGACACGAATGCACTAAGTGCGCACTGAACTAACCCATAAATTTCACTATTAGTGTGTATTATCCTTGGTGCGAATGGTCCAAGGCGGCGCGAGAATCAGCGGCATCTTATTAACTTGCCAGAGCCAGAGATTTTATTTATTGAAAAATTTTCCTTCGGCGCCATTTGTTTACCAGATTGTTTACCTATAATTTGAGGAAGGGGGGGGGCAAGTAGTGTATGCCCTATGTCAAATTTGTCATGCCCTATCACAAAGTTGACTCTAGCTACGGCTCTGACCGGTAGGTATAGTTTTTCACTTTGAAACAGCCCTTGCTTAGATCTCGTTTGCATCTTCCTCGTTGCCTATTATATTAATCAAAATTAAATATTTTTCATCATAAATGTATATGCTTAACTACGACTACTAGCGCAAACCGCTAACGACACCGTTGATGACGTCGACAACAGTACAACACCATAACTGCTTACGAACTAGCACTTTTCTCACCTAACTTAAAGAATCTAACTAGTTGCGCGTACGATTTCTCACAAGTAAGTGAGAATCTATCCTTCCCCCTCACCCCTGCTAAGAGACTTGGATTTTTGACTGAGATAACTAGCTGACCTAAGCTGGTGCAAAATACGAATTTTTTGAATTTTTGACATGTTTCTTTATTTTTGTTGAAAGTTGAAACAGGAAAACTTGAAAATCTGTAGTGTGTTTATGTGATTAATTATTCATGGCACAGAAATTGCACATACGATTAACAACTTAGCTCAGGTCAGAAACTAATAATAACTTTAACTTAGATGAGAAAAGTGCTAGTTCGCAAGCAGCTCATATGACCTTGATTCCAAAAATCAAAGCCGATGAGCAATCCTGTAATTGTAGTAGCGTGTAATACCCTTGGTGTAGCCTAGTGGAGTTCAGAAATGCGCGCTTTCCAACGCTCTGTTTTTTTAAAGTGGTAAATTTATTACGATACGACCAAACAGCAAATAGCCTAATTATTTATGAAATCTTGGAACCAAAAAATACCGGTAAGAACCGTTTAATTTATATCAGTTCCGGTTCTGCCTGCCTTATAACATTCCTATGAAATATGGGTTCCGTTCCAGTTCCGGTCCTCAAAAAAAAACGGTTCCGTCCCGGTTTTCGGTTCAATATCGTTCCGGTCAGGGTCCCTGCTAAAAAGTACTCAAGGCTGAGTTCGGCTTTACACTCTTTAAACTCTAAGCGCGCTCGGAACGATAATATCCTGTTCGTTTTAGCGCTCAGAGTGCTCTCTTTTTCGTTGGGCTTATGACAGTGTATGACGTCACGATATCCATGCTCATGCAAATATCCAGTTGAGTTCCTCAAAATTTTGTAGAGGGCGCGAATGAACTTGGAGTGTTTCAAATTTTGGCGGTAAATGTCAAAGGTTTAAAACTGATTAAATTGAGTAGAAAGAAAGATGACTACAGATGAACAATGGACAATGGATAAGTTAGAATTTCTTCTAAAGCGTTCAGTGGCCCTTAGAGAATATTTTCAAAAGTTTCAGCGTCAGCTTGTCTTGAAACCACACATCAAACTTCAGTTTTGAGGTTAGAATTAGAATCGAATTTTTACGCGCGAAAATTTAAAGAGATCCAAGTACAGAAGCGCCCTCTTCAACTCTACTGTCAATATTATATGCCATTGATAATCTATGTTCCAACCGACATGAGAACCGTTTCAGAACCAGTTATTTCCAATTGCCCACCTATTTTTCAATAAGATGGACGTTTATCCTACTTGACAAATGACTTAATCGACTGGAAATAACCGTTCTAGAACGATTCTCATGAATCTCACAATCTCACGTCGGTTGGAAGTGTTGTAACAGACATATAGAAAGGCGACTCAATTTTCCAAAAATAAATACATGGTATTGTTAGGGATTTTGGTATAGTATAATAGCGTAGCGTTGATTAATAGTAACATAAATAAATAATAAAATCCCAGTAGTTATAAATTCTTTCGCCAATTTGTCAGGAGTAACTTGGACGATAAAATCTACACGGCGCCATCTATTATCGATGTCTATAAATCCAGGCGCAATCTTTCTACTCCTTTCTCTTACATACATTAAACAAACAAAAATATACTCCAACTACTCCTATTTCGAGCTATAGTTGCCATGTTCTCCACGATCGCGTTAGTGGCGATCATCGATATTCTGTCAACGAAAAGGCGCTCGATTTGAATTTCTCTTTGGTTTTCCGATCAAAACCGAGGAAATTCCTAGTTGCAAGCGATCTTTACAGTAAATATCGATTAACCGCATCGCCGGCAACATAAATATTTTCGTTTCATGGCATCGGATTGCGGAAAACCCTCGATAATTGCCATTTAAGTTGCTTCATCGGCTCGTCGTCGCCAAAAACATCCCATAGCAACTCGGGGTTTTGTTTACTAAAAAACAAGTGCCAGAATTGTTTTTCATTTTAAGTAGAAGGAAAATTTGTGTTTTTCTCTTGTTCCAAAAAGGAAATCGTCCTCGAGGAAAGGGGTAAGCGTTCAAATTCAAAACACGCGCATTTAAATTCACCAAGTTTTTTTTTATGCATTTCCGTATTTTTTTTTTTGAAATATTTCTCCGTCGATTCCCCTCCTACACGTGCAGGTGCAGTTCCCTATCCTAGACCATTTTGTTTTCGCCTATTTAGCAGAATTGTGGTGTCCATCTTAGAACAGCTACAGGTAAGAATTATATTTATCATTTTCCACTTGAGTTGATAGGCTAATTAGTTTTTAAAATAATGCATGACTAATCGGTGTTGCTTAAACTGCAGGAAATCTAGGCGGGGCAGGGCTCCTAGTCAGGAATAAGTTGCGGTTGGGGGGCCACGTGTTTGTGAGTTTCAGTGTTAAATAGTTGTCCCTATTGTTTCTTTTTTTGGATTTAAAGGTGAGTTTCAATAATTTCAATTGAAATTTTGACTAAAGAAACAGAGTTTTTTAGAACTCCTCATTCATTCTCTGCAAACTTGAATGCTCGGTATAATAATGTATTGAACCACTTTTCATTGTCTAGAATGTCTAGTAAGGTAGGTATATAGGGTACTTGCATTTGCATTTCTTAGGGTATTTTTAAGCATGTTCATGATTTTAAAATATTTTGGTGTTAAATTCGTTTTAATATTCATCTCCAATGGGCATTTCAACTCCATAGGTACCGGGTGATTGTCTATATATTATTTGCACCCAAACCTATCTCACCTGTTTGAAGAGATACCCAGAAATAATGTCAACTGTGAAAGTTGTAGGTGATATACAGGGTGAGTTACTAAGCGCGTGGTGGTCTATATCTCCTATACTAACGGAGATCGAAGAAAAAACTAAATACAGAACTTGTAGATCAACATGGGTACTACATTCCTAAATTATTTTCCAGTATACAGGGTACCCCAATAAGTAGTGGTGATACAAAGATGTTTTTTTTAAATGACTCCCCCTGTATATTATGACATTTCTGGATTCTGTGGAAAATTCTAGACATATTTCATGTACAATGTCAGATACCTATCTCCAACTGTTTTGAAAATATATATAACAGTTTAAAATTTACTTTTTTGCATCTTTGATAGACTGTAAAACCTAAACTGTTGATTTTCCAGCAAAACCGATTTTAAATTCTTATCCTAGATTTTCATAAGCTATTAATAATTTAAGCGGAATTTTTAATCATGAGTTAAATTCAAAATTGGTGTCGAATGATAGTTTATGAAAAACTAAGATAAGAATGTATGATCGATTTTGCTGTAAAATTAACCGTTCAGGTTTTACAGTTTGTCAAAGATGCAAAAAAGTCAATTTTCAACTGTCAATATTTCCGAAACAGTTGAAGATAGGTATATGACATTGTACATGAAATATGTCTAGAATTTTCAGCAGAATCCAGAGATGTCATTATATACAGGAAGAGTCATTTAAAAAAATACAACTTTGTGTCACTGCTACTTATTGGGCCACCCTTTGTACTGGAAAATAATTTAGGAATGTAAAGACTGGTTTTTTTTTAAAGATAATTCCCCAAGTCAGAATAGTAACTATGTTGGCAACACAAGCCTTTTCTACATAAAAAATTTGAAAGCTTGACAATTTTACATTGTATTGCCAACATAATGTCATTTTGACTTTTATCTTTAAAAAAAAAACACACTTTATATGCTTTTGAGATATTATTGGCGTAACATCATCCTTGGAAAGTTGGCAGGTTGACACCAAATTTCCAAGGATGATGCTACACCAATAATATCTGAAAGGCAAATAGTACTCATGTTTATCTACAAGTTTTGTATTTAGTTTTTTTTTCGATCTCCGTTGGTATTGGAGATATGGACCACCTCGCACTTAGTAACTCTCCCTGTATATCGGGTCTTAAAAAAAAAACCCAATCAAAAAGTGCTTTGATACTGAAAACGTATGTCGCATTATTGTTTCTTTATTGGTCAGGATTTTTGACATGACATTTTGACATTAAAGTTCATTGACAAAATTAAAGGAAAATATTGCTAAGACATATGTTTAAAACTCGGTTTAAAAAACCATAGCAATCTTTGATTTGTTTTTTTTTTGAAGACCCGATACAATGGTAATACAAAAAAGTTTTCAATGAAGTTAGTTACAAGTATACAGGGTGTGTCACAAAAGTCTGACAATGTAAAGTTAAACTTTTTTAATTCGAACACCTGTATATTATTAACCCATTGGATTAGCCTTTCAAACCTGATTCTGAATATAGGTACTAGGTTTTTTAAGATTTATTCCTGATAGTCTGGGAGAAAATAGAAAAAAAGGGGTGAAACATTTTTATTGAAAAAAAAACACCAGCAAAATATAAAGGTAGTCATTCAACTAAAAAATCCATATTATTTCTTCAAAATGGGATGTTCAGAGGCTGAACTATGAGGAATAAACCTAAAAAACCTAGTATGTATATTTGGAATCAGGTTTGAAAGGCTGCAAAATATAGACAATCACCTGGTACAGGGTCATTGACCACATTTTGACCAATAGGTTTTCATTTGACGTTTTTGACACATGGTTTAAATTTGACATTTATAAATAAGAAATGTCAGAACAATGATATTTTTTTAATGGGATACCCTGTAAAATGTAAATTATTACATTTTTGGATTCGTCAGAAGTTTCTAGCAGCCGTATGTAACATGTTTCAACTTTGAAAGCGTTCTTAAAACTGTCAGAGTCGCTTTTTAAGTTGAAAGAGGTTGCAGACAGCTGTTAATCTTTTTCATGATTCTATACCTTTCAACTGTTTCCGAAATATTAACAGTTTAAAATCGATTTTTTTGCAACTTTGACAGGTTGTAATGCCTGCCCCGTAGCTTCAGAATCGTTGACCAGACAATATATATCAGATGTAGAATTTTCTGAAGAATCTCAAAATGGTATAATAATATAGAGGGTATTGCGTTAAAAAAAAAAATCATCACTGAAACCAATATTTTCTGGCGCTTTTTAATAACACCTATAAAAGTCAAATTTAAACCATGTGTCAAAAACGTCAGATAAGAAAGTTACTTATTGGTCAAAATTTGGCCAATGACCCTGTATGTATGAATGAAAATTTTATGATGTTATATTTGTATTTGTTTAGAAGAGTTTTCCTTATTTATTTATTTCAGGCTTTTGAATTTCCCGAGGAATTTCCTTACTTTTCATTCTTGGTTGTCCTTATATTTTTGCCTTATTCTCAGTATGAACTTTATGAATATGTTTGTTTCATTGAGGAGCGGTTTCTCAATAGCAAGTCACTCCCGGGTTAAGCATAACTCCAGGGTAAACATTGCAACTGGACACGTTCATCCTGGAGTTGAAACCAACCCAGAGGTGACTCGCTATTGAGAAACCGACCCTAATAGACCGTGAGATAGGGCCTGTTTAGTGGAGTCATTTTTTTTTGTCTGGCATGTTGAGGGATGAATGTGGCTAGTTAGCTGATGAGAATATAGGTGGTTTTAGTGCTTGCCACCTGTTCGAAATATCAACAGAATGTTTCACCAGAAAACTCGACTTCGAACTGGGATTACCGTCTGGCGATTTTTTAGCGATATTTTCACAGCAAAACCTTTCATTCTCTCGATTACCAGACAAAAAGTAAATGCGGAAAGTTCACTCATCCCCACTTTTTCAGCTATTGAAAAGCATCTGGTATTTTTTATGGGTGAATTATTTATCAATGTCAATCTTTTATTTAGAAGTCAAAAAACGAGTCAAAAAATTTGAGATCATTAAAAAAAAAATCCTCATGTAAATCAATTTTTTTCTTCTGCAAATTTTCGAACGGGAGGCAGTCATTAAAACCACCCATATTTTCATCAGCTTAGTAGCCACATTCAGCCCTCAAAATGCCAGACAAAAAAAAATGACTCCACTAAACAGGCCCTATCTCACAGTCTATAATGCCCGTATTACATCGGTGTATTTTTCCATGTATTTATTCATGTAGTTCAGGGTGAGAACCGAAAAACTTCAAACGCAACATAAGCGTTAAGAAAAACAAAATAATGTTGCCACTCTGAACTAAATGAATTAATAGGTACACAGATGTAATACGGGCATAAGGTAGGTTTTTTTGGAAGAAAAAAAAATCAAAAGCCTGGAATAGACAATAGGACTTGTCACGATGGTCGCATATACAAAGTGTATATTTCAAGTGATACCACTGTTGCTTTATATGAAACGGTTAGAGCTACAAAGTAAGTTAAATTAGAAAAATGTTGCCTTTTTTAATGCCCATTCAAGACTCGTTTGCAGTGTTGCAAAATTCCTTTTAGTTTAAGAAATACAGAGTGATTTCTAAGAAATGCCCAAAAATATTTTATCAATTATTGAAAAAAGCGCCCTTCATTTCATTCCTAAAAATGACATAAAAAATCCAGGTTTGTGTTAAAAAAATAGAATTTGATGATGGTAGCTCGAACACAAGAACACTTAAGTGATAGCCGTGCAAATGGCCATTACTGCTTCAGATATAGCAATAATAGTGGTATTACTTAAAGTGCACACCCTGCATACTTGGTGATTCCAAAATGGTGTATTAGCTCTCTACTACATTGTGGGGGACCCTTCTAGGAACCCCAAAAAAATAGTTGTGTATTATTGAATTCTTATGATTTCTTGGCAGCTATTGTGATTTCCAAGATTGTAATTTTCCATCAAGTGAAAGGAATTCTCAAGCATTGCAGAAATTCAGAATAGGAGGCGTTTGTATAGTTTGCATTTTAAGTTTAGTAAAATTTTGAACAAATTTTGAGTATTTTTCTCAGTAAAATACAGAAATAATTACTCTTTACAAAGTGGGTATTTTCGAGGGTACTTTTCCATTTTCTGAAAATTTTTAGAAGTCTCTCGACCCAGTTCATATTCTAGTTTTCCTCTTCTTCAGAGGAAGAAATATCATACATCTTAGAAGTTTTCCTCTTACGGCCATTTGCACCGCTATAACTTAAGGGATATTTAATCCAAGTGGAGCTTTGGATGTGACTCTCGTAGAAACAAAAATCACATTCAAAAGCTCCACTTAAATTAAATATCCCTTAATATCCCTTAAGTGATAGCGGTGCAAATGGCCATTAGTGGTTGATTCTGCTTAAAGCTTAGATATTCTGTTATCTGCATTTTTCTTAGCTTCTTCCCAGGGTTTTTCCTGCACCATTCATTCAACAGAAGGTGGATTTTTGGACAACCATATCATTACTGTAGCTGTAGGCTTTGATTTTCAGTATTGAGAAATTCAAAAGTATCTTGTCTCTTAGTTTGACTAAACCTTCATCATTCTCGGAGTCTTAGTCCTTGTTGGATATATTTTGATCCAGAATTACTATTGTGAATTTAAAAATGTTTTTTATTTTAAATGAGCTTCTGGATTTGGATAATGCAATTTTGATTCTGAATGATACTCAAAGTGCCCAGAAATGAGTAGTAAATCCTATGCTTCATAATCGTACTAAGCATAATAATGTCAAATATCATTTTATAAGAGAAGCAGTTGAGAATGGCAATATTCAGTTAAAATATATGCCTACAGATAAAATGATAGCTGATATTTTTACTAAAAGTTTGCATGGACCAAAGCATAATGAACATGTGAAAAATTTAGGTTTAGAATAGAGATAGTATTTAGGTATTACTGGATTAAGGGAGGCTGTTGGAGATATTTTAATCCAGAATTACTATTGTGAATTTAAAATAGTTATTTTTGTCACAAGTACCTAAAATGAAGTTTTTCAGGACGAATCATTGCTGTTTCCGGACGAGGCGCTAGCCGAGTCCGGAATAGCAGATGAGTCCTGAAAAACTTCGTTCAGGTACGTGTGACAAACACTATTTTTTGTCATACGCTTTTTAAAATTCTTCAAAACGCTTAAATTTGCAAATTTTCCTTAAAAAAAATCCTAAAAAGAAGCATTTTACGGACTTGAATGAGTCTGTAAAATAGCTGTTTTTTTGTCATACGCTCCCAAAAACAGCTATTTTACGGACTCATTCAAGTCCGTAAAATGCTTCTTTTTGGGATTTTTGTTTTCTTCCTGGATGCACTTTTATGGTTTCAAAAATTAAAGAAATTCTGCAAATTTCAGCGTTCTGAAGAATTCTAAAAAGCTTATGACAAAAAATAGTGTTTGTCACACGTACCTAACGAAGTTTTTCAGGACTCATCAGCAATGATTCGTCCTGAAAAACTTCAATTTAGGTACTTGTGACAAAAATAACCATTTGAGAACAGAATGCTGTAGGTAACTGATACAGGTACTAGCTCGTTGATATCTATCAGTCAAGAATTGTCTTAAAAATTGTCTTAGAATATTTATTGCTGTAGTCGTTTTCCGTGTAATATTTTTACGTTAAATAAATATTTCATAGTTTGGAGTCTAGCCATGAAATTGATAGAGCACTATTTCAACACCTTTTCCAACCCCTATGCAAAATCCCATTGACTCAAACTCCGTCGAAATATGAAAAACTACCCTTAAGAAGTAAAATGCATAAATATTCAGATTTCCGTTTTTTTTTTTTTTCCAATTCGGAGTTCAAGTCTTGCCATGAAATTAATAGGGTACCATTTTAACACTTATGATGACTTATAGTAACAAAAACCTTGTAAAATCTCTCTTTCAAGTTCAAAATTTTTCCTGCAATTTTCACAAACCCTTTATTTTTTTCCAGATTCAAACCAATCATGGTACAACAAGACACGTCAAGTTCGAGTGACGATAATTCAGCCCCCAACTTTCCAGAAACACCAGCCAAAGGCATTCCGGTGGGCAAATACCGTTTGGTAGGATGGGCAGTTGACACTACTGGACGTCGCCTGATTGACGAAATCGTCCAGATTGCCGGCTACACTCCCGAATCGAAATTTTCCAAATACATCATGCCCTTTTCCGATCTGAACCCGTTCTACAGCCGCAAGCACAACATCAAAGTGTACAACACGATCCGTTACAGACGTCTAAAGGACTTGAAGACTGGCCAGTTTTTGAAAACCAAAAGCGAAATATCTGCTTTGACTGACTTTGTTGAATGGTTGGAATCTGTCAAAGGAGATTCAGAAGGCATCGTTTTGATATTTCACGAGGTGCGCAAATCTACACCAGGAATGCTTTTGGAAGCGTTGAGACGCAACAGCTTGTTGGAACGCTTTGAAAAAGTTTGCAAAGGGTTTTCGAACGGCTTTAGTGTAGCCAAAGCCAAGTGTCAAAGCAGCACGAAAACTTACAACTTAAGGGTTATGGGTAAAGTGCTTTTGGGACGCGAACAAATGGATTTTAGTAATGCTGTGGAAAGGGCTTCAGCTGTTTACGATATCGCAGTGCATTTGGCTCAAGGTGAGAGGGACGAACTGGGCGACAATGGTAAAATTTCTATTGGGACTGAGCCTGTACTGATTGAGCTGGTTTGTCCTTATACAAATCCTGTTTCGGCTGAGGAAGAGGAAATAGAAACTTTTAAGGTAAAAATGTTGTTTGTTAAGGGATATTGTGTGTTAGTTGATATTTTTGTTGCCTTTGCATTTTGTGGTTTCTCAATCTTCAAATTTGATAACTATATGTATTTTTGCACTTTTATCTTATCTTGTTTTTCTATTGCATCAGAGTGATAATATGCGATTAATCAATAATACTGCTTTTTATTTTATTATATGAAATTGGACTTTTTGATGCTCCTATAGACATCTTGTAGATTTTTCAATTTATTAATAAGATTTTTATACCTATAGTTTGTAAATTATTATTATTATTATTATTATTATTATTATTTGCTTGACAACAGAAAGCGGTTTGACACTGATGAGTCTATCGTATCTTCTCTGTCCAATGCTCTGCGTTGTTTCTTTTAATTGGGTTTAGAAGTAGTGTACTAGGGTGGAGTTAAGTTCAGATAGGTTTCCCTGCGGCACACCGCTGATTACGAGGTGTAGTTCCGAACAGATTCCATTGACCCTGACTGTGTATTTTCTACATTTAAGAAAGGAGTCACTCCATCGAAGATAGGATCCTCTAATTCCTAGTTTGTGGAAAAGTGTTTCATGTGGAACGGTGTCAAAAGCCTTTTGAAAGTTGAGATACACTAATCTACTGGGTTGCCTTCATCAACTTCTTTGGTCCAATAATTAACACAATTCAAGAGGTTGGTGGTGGTTGATTGTTGTGGTAGAAATCCGTGTTGTGACGGTGGAATAATAGAACTTTCCAGTAGAAAACTTGTGATCTCTTTTGCAAGTATTTTTTCCATTACTTTACAGAGTGTGCATGTCAGGCTTACTGGTCGGTAGTTTGCAAGATGATGTTTATCTTCGCTCTTAAAAATTGGGATTATGATAGCTCGAGTCCAAATTTTTGGTAGGATGCCTTCTATTAGAATATTTTTACTAATAGAGTAAACAGTTTTGCCATACTATTTTCATTTGAAATTTTTCTTTCTAAAGAATCCATCAATCATCAATCATTCTAGAATTTTGTATATTGTTTTTAGGTTTTGCTACAAAGACAGAACACATTCAGGCCTGTTTTTGGTGCACTGATGCGCGCTAGCCCGCCAGAAAGACAACACGCCAGTCACTTGAGAAGACTTCTGGCTCTAAACAACATCAACTATGACCGTTTGCAAGACGCTTATGAAAAAGGTGCCAAAGATGGCCTGGATAAGATCCTAAAGGATGAAGTAAGTAGAATTTTCCTTATTATACCCTGATTGTTGTCAATACACTTTCTAATTATATTACAATTTTCGTTAGATATCCAACGCCAAAGAAGCTGACTTGACAGAACTGTTGGACATATTGGATCGTTTCTTTGATCCAGAAAAACAACCACTCAAACCGAAACCGTGGAACCGTTACGGAAGGTATTCTCAGCAAGGCCACGGCAGAAATCGCGAATCGCCGTCTGGAAAAAAGAAAATTTCAGAATCCAAAGAAGCGGATACTTCTGGAGATACCAATACGAGCTCTGGAAGTGCCGAGGCCTCCCCCAGGAGCGAGATTAAGACGGAAGTGCCTGCTAACTAAAGGAGACTGTTAGTCGTCTAGTGCCTTTTTATCTTATTAATAGTTTTTAATTGTTAATTTGATGACTAATTTTCTATTTTTGTTATTAATTTAATGTTATCAGTTTATTTTTCTTTTTTTTTTTTTGGTTGAAGGCAAAAGAACTTGGGAGTTTTTTCCGGTGCCCATTGATGGATAATAATTGAATATACATATTTTATTTTGTTGAGATTTATTTTTTAGTTTTTGATTCTTTTTTTTCGTTTTTGTGATAATAATGGGTGATTTATTTAATTTTGTAGTTCAAAACGATTGATTTGATACCTGTTATTCTAAATAATATAATTAATAAATATTAACGTATGATGATATAAATTTATTGTTTTATTTCCTACTGAACTATTATAACCATATAATAATACCTTGGTTACAATAATCATAAACAGGGTTTTAACTCCCAAGGAAGTTAAGGATTTCATGACTCCCGCGCGGGAGTTAAGGATATCATAACTCCCAAGGGAGTTAAGGATTTCTATAACTCCCGCTTTTACCTTGAATGGGTAAAACTATGAGAAAAAATAGAAATTTTGGTTTATGGTTTGGTCCTTTATAAAAATGGACAAAATACAGAAAATTCATTAGGCAATAAAATTATCTATGTACCGCGGGAATTATCACGTGTTAATATCCATGGGCAATTGGTGGTAACACAAACTTTGCCCTGGGGTATTAACACCCTCATGATTCCCTTGATACATAAATAACTATTATTTTCATATTACATAGGTGTTTCAATAATAGTTATATAGCTTTTAAGCTATTCCAGGGTCCTCATTTTTGAAACAGGGGAGCAGCGATCCCGGGAGAACGAGTGTTCCCTCTTTCTCAATGATATGCAATTGATAATAAAAGTAACCAAGACAGAACACTCGTTCTCCCGGGAACGCTGCTTCCCTGTTTCAAGAATAAGGACACAGGAGTGAGAGACTAGACCCTTCCAACCTTATCCTATTTTCTAGCAATATAGAAAGTTTCCTTAAGTGGTTTATTGCACCATTTATGGCACGGCCTCGCTGATGGCATCATCGCCCGCATTCTTTTAAAATTGCTAACCAAAGTTAAAATGGGTTAAACCACAGCCCCCTACATTTAACTATAGGAGGCTGTGGTTAAACCTTAAACTAAGCCTTAAACCCTTGTTAAACCATTGTGGAATAGTCAACTTGACTAATAGAAATTGGCTCCCTCTCACAACGCTTTCCGTTTGATTCTCGTTGATCAATTTCTATTGATTTTTGGTTGATCAACTTTTTGTTCTGGGAAATATCTTGAGAGGCGCCAATAACCATGTTTTCGAACGTGCCCCTCCATCTGTTTGGAGATCAAGCAGAAAGTGCTAGGTTAAGGTTTTGTTTGTTATCTTTTATCAAGTATTTTGTTTGATGAGGTGGTTCCAAAATCCAAACCAAAAAAATCTGTAATTTGAATAGCAGCCCAAATAATAATGTCTTCTTCAAGCAGCAATAAATATTCAATATTATTACCAACCTACAATGAAGTCCAGAACCTTCCGATAATCATTTGGCTCCTGGTGAAACATATGAACGAAAGGTAACACAATAGTTTTACTAATTTTTATGTTTATTTGAATTTTATGTCTGAACTGTAATCAGATTACAATGAATCTGGCACCCAAGTCATTCTGCTTTAGCTGTAAATTTGTTTTAATAAGTCTATTTTATATAAGTACTGGGTTTCCGGAATAACTTGAAGTACATACATGGGGATTTTGGAAACCATTGTGAAGATACAGGGTGGACCAAATGGGGAAAAAGTTGTGCAATCAAGTGCCTACAAATAATCTGGAATCAACTTCTTTGAATTCGGTATAGCAACAAGGCAAAAAAGAAAAAAGTGTGTTTCATAAAATCCTTTATATCTTGTTCATTATAAAAGATACAATCAAGAAATTCAAAGAAGTTGATGACAGATTATTCGTACCCTGTATCTTCAATGGTTTCCATAATCTCCTATTCAGCTTCAATAGTTTTGCAGCTGCAAAGCATCAAAATCTTTTGACTATGATTTTTATCAGGAAAATGACACTAACATACATTTTGCCTCACAACTTTGTTAATTTCAATCCGATCTTAACGAAATTGGGCTTCAATTAAAGCCAATTAAATTCTCTACAAATATCCTAAGAATGGCTTCAATAGTTTTGCAGCTGCAGGCTGCAGAGCTTCAAAGTCTTGATTATGATTTTTATTAGGAAAATAACACTAACATACATTTTGCCTCACAACTTTGTTAATTTCACTCCGATCTTAATGTGATTAGGCTCTCATTGAAGCCAATTAAATTCCCTCTTCTGTGAATTATTTCAATCTAGCTTCAATAGTTTTGCAGCTGCACAGCTGCAAAGTCTTGACTATGATTTTTATCAGGGAAATGACACTACACATACATTTTGCCACACAACTTTGTTAATTTATATCGGATCTTAACATTATTTGGCTTCAATTAAAGCCAATCAAATTCTCTACAAATAAACAATTTCAATTCAGCTTAAATGGTTTTGCAACTGGAAAGCTGGCAATTTAAATGTAATTAAGCTCTAAATTCACGAATAAAAATCAATTCAAGAGACAAAAATTGAAATAAAATATGGCGGAAATTTGATTTTGAAATATGAAAACTCGTGTAAAAAGCCCTTTTTGTCCATAAATTACTCAAAAATACAACTTCCATAACCAAAATAGAACAATTTTCCTCAACATGAATTTTGAATCTGGAAGTTGTTCTGGCATGCTCAAAATCAATCTGTAAGTCTTAGATATTCTAGAGGCAAAATCGAGCATCATTTCCTCTGGAAGATTTACTTAACCCAAACTAAAAACAGTGGAATCAATTTTTTTCCAATTTGATTTTTGTCTTGTCTCTGAACATTGTAATTGGAGAACTCATTTTCAACAAGTACTTAGTCTTTTAAGATTTTAGTATCCAAAATGAAAAAAAATAGACAACAAACAGTCAAATCTTACCATATGATGGGGTCCAGGTTTTTTTGCAGTTCTTACCATGACTTCACATAATTCTGGTGTCTTTTACAGCTTCTTTCCTCACAAATTTTGCAGATTTACGATTAAACTCTTGGTTATTAGTGGCTGCCCTGTAACAAAAAGTTTATAATTTTAAGTTTGTTGTGAAAAACTTTTATTTTCAATAACTTACCTTATCAAGTTTGCCATTTGTAAAGGGCCCCATACACTACGATGAAACACGACGGTTTTCATCGCCATGATGAAACACATCGTTCTATAATAAAACCGAAGTGTGTAATAGAAAAACACGACGGTTTTCTACAGGGCCCCACAGACTACGATGAAACACGACGGTTTTCATCGCCACAATGAAACACGTCGTTCCAAAACCGAAGTGTGTGGTAGAAAACCGTTCGTGTGTACAAAATGTTGAACCGTCGTGCCAAAAATCAAGCTCCGACTGAATTTTAAATCGACGATGAAACACGACGTTTTCTACCACACACTTCGGTTTTGGAACGACGTGTTTTATCGTGGGGATGAAAACCGTCGTGTTTCATCGTAGTCTGTGGGGCCCTGTAGAAAACCGCCGTGTTTTTCTATTACACACTTTGGCTTTAGAACGACGTGTTTCATCGTGGCGATGAAAACCGTCGTGTTTCATCTTAGTGTATGGGGCCCTTAACTTGTATAAGCCCAATTTCCACCCCACCCTAGAGGGTCTAGCAATTTCCACCAGAACTGATATTGATTAGACTCAGATGACTTCTGGACTTTGTTTGCTTACCTAAAAAAAAATAACACAACGGCAGGAAAATTGTTCATGAATTTGTAGTTTGATGACTCGAATCAATTAAAATGTGCTAATAACATGGAAAAAGCATTGAAAAAACATCAAATTCTTCAAAGTTAATTATAAAACCTCAACATCAACAGAAATTCAATTTACTTATAGTGGACCACCCTGTACTTAATTTACTTGTTTACATGAAAACCTGAGGCATAATCCAGGCATTTGAAAAATGATAGTCAGCTCTAATAAGTCATGTTTTTGTTAATGAATGTAAGGAAAATGCTCATATAAACATAAAGTAGTACCTACATGTTAACACAAAGTTTCAGCTCGTGTTCCGTAACTTCCAGAGAATTAACTTGGCTCCTGGACTATTAGGCCTACTAATCAACTATTAACCGAATTCTCATAAATCCCTTAATGACTGGCTTTCCAAGAGTGCACCCAACACCTCTATATGAGTGTCTGAAAAAAATGAGGAAAAAAATTGAATACTTTCAAATTGCCTTTTTGGAAAATATATAGCTACAACTGGATAACTACATATCTCTCTAGCAATCAGCTAAATAGTATTTTTGTGTAATAATATGCACCTTCATATTGAATTCATTTTGGAAATAGCTAAAAATGTTAGTGAACTACCATTAGCAATTACCCAAAGTTTAGGTGAGTGTTAATTTGGGTTATATATTTGTGTTATGTTAGCTGCGTTGTTGCTAGTGGAAGTGGCTTGAAATTTGCAATAATTAAAACTTATTTCGAGACACTTTTAAGATATTGGAGCATTACACAAAAACATCTTTGGATAATTTCCAGTGACAGTAGCTAACATTTGTAGCTATGGATTTAATTCAATCAAAAACAATTTTTTCGGGACACTCGAGCATTCTATTATAACAGTATCTACATCACTTATCTACATCCAGCATACAGCATTCTCTTACAGCAGCATCTACATCCATAATTTTCCTGGATCATTCATCTCTCACACAGAATTCATTCATACTTTCTCCTTTTTCAACGCACTTTTGGAAAACCAAATCAAAAAATAATTAATGATGAAAATAGGCGCGTGGCGCGTAAGAGTCTCTGGAAAACTTCTTTCTCTGACATTAAAAGTTCTAATTCTTGGACCTCTGGACTTTCTATAAAATTTACTAATAGCCCAATAACTATTTAAACGAGTATTTAAATAAAAAAACATTAAATAAGAAAGTTCTGGATTATTCCAGACTCAAAATTTGGGAATTTTATCAGAGAAATCAAATGTGTACTACTTACCAAAATCCAATAGTCATTGGTAGATTGGTACACTGGGCACACGACGCGATAATCGGAAAATGGCGGCCGAAAAAGTTTCTGTTCCAGTACCGCTTTTGGTTACCGACATATTTGAGATTGAAGATTTTCAATTAATAATTAAAATTTCTATTTTTGGATTTTTCTTAATTTTGACTTCAGAAATCGATAGAGCGAGTCCAAGTTAGTCAGTAACTAATATCAATTGGGTACATTTGGAAATTTCAATGAGAAAAAAATTCCAAAAGAAAATCTCATTTTTGGTTCTGCACATTTTTTGAAATCTTGTCATGCTCATGAATTGCTTATATATTCGATTATTTTTGAGCAAATTATTGATAACTATATATCATTGGAAAGAGCATTAAATTCTCTATAAGGCTGTGCAAAATTGGTTTTCGTAACTTTTGGGGTTTCCAAGATCTTGAACTTGAAAGTTGAATTTTAGTTGACATTTTGTCTAAGATTTCAAACTCGATTTTCTCAAAAACCGTAAGCGCTAGTGATGCCAGCTAAGCTTTGAAGCTCTAGAGAAGACTCAGAAGCCTGTAATAGAAAAACAATGATTTTTCTATCAAACATTCACATAATATTAGGAAATTGCCTATAATAAAATTAGAAAACTTATGCTTAGTACGGCCCTGACCACCCATATTTCTTGGGGAATATTGGAATATTGAAAACGCACAAATTATATCTTTTAAGATTTTTTTGGTCCCAACTTGCAAATTCGAGTTGTTTACTTCAACTTAGCCTAACCCCTACCCCTCCTGTCTTGGAGGCTTGTTCCCCTAATGATTTTTCTAAAATGAAAAATTACCTCCTTTGAAAGGTTTTTTATTTCTCTCTAGAGGCGTGACCATTTCATTTCAGCTACAATATAGAACATCATCACTTGACTCAAAAACAAATTTTCCTGGCAAAGTTGAAGAGCATTCAGCTATTCTATTGAAGCCCCATTAGACTGAATTCACTCGAAACCACGTTGTGCAGCTGACACCCAACAGCAGATCACAATTCAACCATTTCTTGCCGGTATTCGGTAGTGCCCCACTGCTACACTTACCGTGTATAGTATAATCGTGCAACAAATGGGATCCTAACCTATTATGGTGGACGGCCTCCCCAGGGGACACCAATTACCAAAAAGAAATAATCAAACCATGATTTGTTGCCCTGGATATCAATGAAACGCAACTTCAATTGTTAAGAGGAAGTTATTGAAAACATCTACAACCAAATGCTTAAAGACTAATACCAAACATGCTCAACTAGAAGTAGCTTACTAAAATTCTGATTTGAAGGATAGCTTAGGTATATAATTATTTTTTTTTTTAAAGCTTATTCCTCCACAATAGTCTACTGCCGAATGACGAATATAAAAATAGATAGGAAAAGAAAGGTACAATAGCTTGTTTACATTACCCTCGTCCCTTTTTTTCTTACTTCAGTCACCTTCAGTGATGATTCATCAAGGTATAATAATATTGAGATAAACATCTTTTCTTGCTGAAATTCACAACACACCAATTTCAGATTGTTTCGAAAATGTGATGAAAAACCTTTTGAGAATCATCATTATTTGAGTGGCAAAAATTGCCAAAACTACTTGGTGCAAAACAATTATCATTTTTTATGTGGGTACCCACTGTATACTTATCATGCATCAGATAATATGTACTGGTATTACTATGTATAGATATATAACTTTTCAATCGATCCACACTGACCAAAATATGTCCAATTCAACGACGTCAAATGGACGCATCATAGACATCTTGATACAGCGTATTTTTTCTGATTTGGTCATATTGGGTTTTACGTGGTAACTTTTGAATCTGTTGCCTGTTGGTTCATGTCATGGTCAAATAAACGTCCACTACGTGACGTCCCAAACAAGTCATATTTTGTAACCTTTTTCTGACGTCGAATTTTGGTTAATCAACGTAAATCTATTTAAAATCGACGTCATAATAACTAACCTTTGCTGTTTGGGATGTTTTTTGAAATAGGAAAAAAGACCTGCTGGAAAACATCATCCAGCATTTTGAATGTTTGAATGGATTTGGATCAGACGATTTTTTCGCAGTAGTGTTTTTGTATTGAAATTGTATTCGCTAACATTCAATGTTCTCTATCTTAGTTCTGATTTATTCATCTTGAGATAAACTTGGTGGTAACTATCTGCAAGATAAATTTACAGATCTATAATCCTGTTGATCACTGGATAATTAATTGACCAATGGGATTACATATTGCGTTTTTATCCGTCAGATTGCATTTACCTGACAGCTTGCCTGACAGTTTATAAGAAAGTGAACAAACCGGCTCTTATATGTATTAAGAGGCTTTTGAAGAGCCGAGAATAGACAAACATTTGAGAATTGGAAGGCAGACATTAAGGAAAAATGGAGTAGATAAGTAGACTTAAGTATGTTGTTTCTCTTCCAGGCTCTTGAGTTTCCTTTATGTAGAGATATTTGGAAGAAACAATTCAAGAGCCGAGAATAGACAAAAATTGAGACGCACAAATTCAAAAATTAAGAGAAGAAATTTAAAGAAAATTTCTAAAAAGCAGAAGTATCTGTGAGGACAAAATCATCATTCGACTATTTCACAGATTTAATGGGTTTGCCTAGGTATTCTCTAATATAAAGTCCGTGTATACATGGGTACAATCACCTGCTAAAGCTAATGTCTAGAGAGCACTTGCTGAGACAAATTGCATTTTATAATTTGCGTAAATATAAACGCTCGCGCAAGCTACTCTGGGAAGTTCTATTCCGTGTAAACCACCCTTAACATTGGAGATTGTAGTAACTATTTGTAGACTATTCTTCACATAGACATTCGTTGAATTATCTCTAACTATTAGGCCTAGATATTTGTATTATTTAACTTTATTTAGTACACAATTAATTTATTTGTTTCACTCTCCTTTTTGTTATTCAAATAATTGATGGTAGGGAGGAGATTGCATTTATTTTTTGGTGGTCAATAAACTGACTATATTGTTAATTTTTTTTGTCTCTATTTCTTCTTGTTTAAAAATGAATATCTTTGTTTTCAAGTGGTCATCCATATGAAATTATCATAATCGACGATGGAAGTCCCGACGGTACCCTAGAAGCAGCCGAGCAATTACAAAAAATCTATGGTAGCGATAAAATCCTGTTGAGACCCAGAGAAAAAAAGTTGGGCCTCGGTACCGCTTACATTCACGGTATCAAACATGCGACTGGTAATTTTATCATTATTATGGATGCGGATTTGAGCCATCACGTAAGTAATTCATTGTTTTGAAAATTGTTGCTTCAAAGTTTTATTTTAGCCAAAATTCATCAGCGAATTCATCGAAAAGCAGAAAACTGGTGATTACGACGTTGTCACTGGCACTCGGTATGTGGGCACTGGAGGAGTTCACGGTTGGGATTTCAAAAGAAAACTTGTTTCAAGAGGGGCTAATTTACTAACCCAAATCCTGTTGCGGCCGGGCGTATCGGACCTGACAGGCTCGTTCCGGCTTTACAAAAAAGACGTTTTGGAAACTCTTATCAAAAGTTGTGTGTCCAAAGGCTACGTATTCCAAATGGAAATGATTATTAGGGCCAGAGAAAAAAATTACACGATCGGTGAAGTTCCCATTACCTTTGTGGATAGGGTTTATGGTGAATCCAAATTAGGAGGATCGGAAATTGTTCAATTTGCTTTGGCACTTTTGTATATGTTTGCTACAACATAAATTGTTTAATTATATTTTTATTTATGTTTTCTTCTGTCTCAAATTTGCTCTGATAAATAATTGGAAAAAGTGAATAGGGGTGAAATCAAATTACTGCTTTTTTGATTGAGGTAAGTTTTGTACTTTCAATAATAAAAACAGCCAACTACCAGTAAATTTACCATCTGATGCTGGTAGCTAAACTGCGCAAATTGATTACAGTACCAAATATTTGATCCCAAAAGGTGCTGCTTATTCCAAAACCTGAAAATTTAATAATTAAAGTTTGAGAAATAAAAAAAAAACTGCAATAATTTTTACCACTGTTGTGTTGCGCAAAGTGATGTTGATTGTGGTACCGTTTCAAATGGTAAAAATAACTGTTTTCCTTTGGAGCGCCACAATGCAAATAGAAATGAATCATATCGTACATAAGGTAACCTGAAAATCCTCCAGCCGCTAATAAAATAATCATATAATCTGGCACAATTAACGAAACTATTTTGTATATAATTGAACCTATAATTGCTGAACCAGCTGGCGGAAATACTAGACGCCTTGTATCGAATGGAACCTGTTTCAGAGCAATAATAATTATTATTCTTTATAATTTAAGGAATCAACTTACTTTATGATGCAGCCCGTGCATGATAAAATGGACATAAATTAAAAGTTTTGATTTTCCTGTGGGTTCCATATGGAAAACCCATCGGTGTAATGAATATTCTATGAAACTCCATAAAATGAGGCCTAAAAATATGTAAAGTACTATGGTTCTAGTGGGAGATGGATCTGAAAATAAATACAAATCTATGCAATCGGATATACTCATTATAGTCTTAAGTATTTTGAATCCGTGCGGAGTAATAAGAACTTGGTATTCAGATCTCGTACAAGGTGTTCAAAGGCATTTAATTAATTTTTGAAATACTCAACAATTTTTATTCACTTTCAAATCTCTATCAACAGAATAATGCAATGCCTCAGAATCTCTATGACTCCAAAAGAAACACTAGGTCTCACATCCTCAGCTTAGTTTCTGAGATTTAGATAATCAAACTTCACAGATGGAACCCTCGTGAAAAAATATCATTAAAACCAACAGAGACAATTTTCACTTATGTAAATTACTCCACATCAATTCAAAATAGATTATAACAAGTTCTTACCTCTTGTTAAGTCAATATATCGTTGAGTTCCAAGTTTAATTAAATAAATGATAACAGGTACCCATACCGCTGGTACAAAGTACCAAGGAGTAATAGTTAACATTTCCAATAAAGGATTTTCAAATAATGTTAAATCTCGATCTACTGGACAGTTTACCCATGTTTTGTATTTGGTACCCAAATTGCCCACTTGTTTTAGCATCGGTTTTGACCAGTCTACTAATTTCTACAATAATAGCAACATAGGATCAAATTCAGGAAAAATTGAAATCCTTACTTCCAAGTCATTTTCATGTTTTTGCAATTCCAATCGATATTCTTCTAATAAATACGTTGCAGCCTGGGAGTGTGTGATTTTCATACGTTTTTCCACATCTAGCTCTTTGTAGGGTTCCAGATAGTTTAAACCTCCCGGATGGTTCTTTAAGAAACTTTTTATGTTGTACCGTGCGTTCTGGTAAGTGACTTCAAAAGTCATCTTGTCTAGAAGAACAACATAAAAAAATAAAATATCTGTGTTATTGGCAAAAAAAAAAACAAAAACAATGTTCAAAGTGGTAATTTCTCCGGATATTTATTGTTACATACAGGATGCAAGAGTTGTAATGAAATTAGATAGTTGAAAATACATATTATTTGGCGGTTTTTTTAGGAAGTATGTAATACTTACCATTGCTAGTTTGAGCCAGATTAGTCAAAAACACAACCACTATGTTATTCAAAAAAGAAAACAGAGTTTTTCACCTTCGAAATCATTTTCGGTATGCTTAGGCTTTGACAATTTCCGGATTTTTCACCAGAAACATGAATCCAGAATTGCATTAAAAGTCTTAAATTAAATGATAATTTAACCAGATCGTACATTTATTATTTAATTTTTGTACTTGTTTTACCACTTAAATTGTTAAATGAATCAATAAAATTCTGATACAGCGAAAATGCAATCAAAACATTTTCATAATTAACTCACATACAGTTTTTTTTTTTTTTGATTAATTTATTGAAAACATCATGTTGGAACATCATTAAAGTCAAATGTTGTTGATGGGATATTCGGACTATTCAATATCTACTATTCACTAATGTTATTGCAGCTGGTAAAATGCTAGTTCAAAAGCTAAAGTGTATTAAAAATAATTGCATGTAACATGAGTAGGAGTAGAGTACTGTCGTACTGTCTCATATTTTATTTTTACTATGTATAAACGCTCTTTAAGTTACTCTCAATTTGAGCACCAAAATCCTCTATGCTGATACAATTATTTTGTTTCTGTGCAATTTTGAACGATATGTTCGGTTGTGGAGGGCTAGTGGCATCAGTTCAAGCTTTGATTTGTGAAAAATTGTACTTTTTTAAACGGGGGTTGTCTTTTGAAAAATTGATTCTTAGGAAATTCAAGAGTTTAAATAAATTTTGAAACTTTATGTGATTCTTAGACAGTGAAGGTGCTAACTTGAAGAGCACAATATTTTTTTGAGCAACATTTAACGACCTACCTTTTTTTTTTAAAAAAAAATATGTACCTCTTCTACACATTTGGTAGAAGACACTTATGAAGCCATGAAAGAATCTTCAAATTGATACAATTTAATAGAAATTCTAGACATTTTTCATGGCTCAAAAAACTCATCTATTTTACAGGTTCTAGATATTTTGCGTAGTACAAAGAAAAAATATCGAAATACAAAAATATAAAAAAATGAAAAGTATAAGGGAAATGGATGAAGTTAAACACATTTATACAGACCAGAGAGACAATGGGGGTGATGGTACGAGCTCAGACAAGAACTTAAATATTTTACTTGACATATGGCTTTAACATGTAATCAGAAATTGTTTTGTAATCAGCAGCAATTTTATTGTGAATTTCTGATATTTGGAGCTAAATGATCTCCCATACATATTAGGTAACATGCGTGGGAGGAGTTATTGTGTATTTATGTCTAAGCTCCAAGTTATGTGCGTCATACCATTGTATAGTCATACCAAAACTTAAATTTATCTTACGGATAGTCAAGACATCTTTTACAAATTAATTTTTTAAACAGAACCAAACTACAGTGACTCCTGACACACGAATTCTGTATGAGCTGAATTCTTCTGGCATCGGAAGCCAGCAGATAGAGCCCACAGTAGATAGGAGTAGTTAAAGTGTGATAAGAAAATAAAATCGCACAGCATTTTCTTAAGATTCTCATCAAGTAGGGTTCATTTGGCAAATATTATTTTGAGGTTGCCAAAAGCTATCTTTATTTATTTATCAAGGGCGAGCCCACTGCCCACTCACAATATCTTAAACTCTGAAATTCATAACAAGTTGAAAACAGTTAGAAATAACAAAATTAAAATAAACAAAGATAACAATAATAAAATAAGGATTTACCACTTAAGAATCAAATAACAATAAGTAATAACTAATAACAAATACAGTTACATGTGAACACATCAGTAAAGTTTTGGTAGGATACATATAGGAATAGTGAAAATAGGCAAAAATAACATCCAATAATAAAGAGTAGTTATACAAGTACAATTAGTGTCGATTGAAAATCCAAATTTGAAAATAACTACTCGAAAGTTTGACGAACTTGACTAAGGAAAATGTTGAAAGGAGCAAAAAGGTCAATTTTGTGGTGTTTGTTTGCGAGTCTAGCTGTTCGGGAGATAAAGGTATTAAGTCCATAATTAGTACGATGAATCGCGACATGAAAACTGCCAGTTGGTCTGGTACTTCAGGAGCGAAATGAATGCTGAATATTATAGAAGGTTGTAAGGTCTCTCCTCTTGTGACGCATAGTTATTGGGGCCATATTTAACATAGATAGTAGCAGGGTGTCGTTATAATTATCCAATATGTTCAGTTTATAGGCTATTTGTGTTCAACCAGTTGAAGATAGTCCTTGTGTACACTGTTAAAAGAGGACCAGCCGCAAGAGGCATACTCTAGATGAGGGCGCAATATAGAGTTCTTAAAACAGTAATATTGGTGAAATCTTGGGTTGCCTTCTGATAAAACCCAACATCTGGAAACCTTTATTCATTATTTGAGTGATTGGAAAAATGGAGATTTGTGTCCAGTGAAAAGTGAAATACGAAAGGTGTTTGATAATGGAAACGTTCTCAAGGGTGTGTTGACCAATTTTATAATTAAATTGAACAGCGGTTTCACCACGCGAAAAAGTAACGGCTTTACATTTAGAAGGATTGAGATCCATGAAATTTCTATTGCACCAGTCTTGGTGGTTGTTAAGATCAGACTGTAGTTTCTCACAGTCTTCATGAGATTTAATTATGCACTTGAACTCCCTTTTCCAAGGCATCCAACAAATAGTCAGTTTGTGTAAAAAGATTTAATTCCGCAGATTTGCCCGGTCTGAAGCCAAACTGTTTCCTGATTAACATAGGCTCTATGGGGGGTGTCAAAAAGTCTACGTGGGTCGGTGATTGGTTACCATAGATTTATCTCCGGATTTGAGCTTGAAGAAACTCTCCCTCCAAAACTCCACAAAAACACCTCTACGTAATGACAAGTTGAAAAAGTGGTAAAGGGGCCATGAGATATTAAAACTGAGTTTTTTTAGAAATATGGGTGGTACCCCATCCGGACCAGGGTCTTTGGACTTTGTTAACATCTAGCATATATGGATAATTTGGATATTAGTATCTGATGATTCAGTATATGGACTATAGATGAAGGCAAATCATGTGTAGGGATATCATATCATGGTGGATATTTGAATAGACTGAGGAAAAATAATCTGCAAACATGTCCGCAATCTCCCCACCCGAACAACTTGACCTGTTAACTACTATATTTAGGTTCGCTAGGAAAATCATTGCTCTTCTTTTTATTATTTACAAAAGACCAGAATGTTGGAGTTAATAGCCATTTCGGTCCCAAGAAAATAATTTTGATAGCATTCCTGTGTCAAGCTCTTGCACAGCTGTCTTAACCAACCTAAAAGATTCGCGATAATCCACATCAGAGCGAGAAAACTTGTATTTGCTGGGAGGTTTTTTCTTTATAATTACATAGTTTTTCAGGTCAACTATGAAAACCATACGGAAACTTTCTAGTAGAGAACTTTTTCAGAGGTACAAATTTAACAATGGCAATATAGATAATTTCATAAAAAATATTTTTTATAACATCGTATCAAAGAGTTTGATTACAATGGAAAAAGTCCCAATTGAATTGATCTAGGAACATAACAGTATCCCGAAAATTAGTAGAATAAAAATGTCTATAAAAACCGTCAAATTCAAAGGAATCTGTGAAGACAGTTCTCAGTAGTGTCGGAACAGTTAGCTCTCAAAATAACCCAAGGTGGGTGCACAACTGGAGGAACTAAGAAACAGTCAGTAGATTTAACTTCGGTTGAAGAGTCTTATGTAAGAATCAGGTCTAGGAGACTATTGTGAGTTGTGAGATGACAAATATCTATTGATTTGGAACAAGTTATGAAAGTTACATACGTTTGACATAATCTCAACACGTACAATATCCGAGGGCATCGTAGCAATCACCGAGGAACAGTAGTTGTCCCTCCGCCATGAGACGAGCGACAAATTAGTTACCAACAACATCTAGGGTGGAGCCAGGAAGGTATCTGAAGTGCAAGTGAGTCTAAGGTTTCAGAAAATGTAGCATATACTTTAGCTGAAGAGTTGGGAGGGACATTGATTGCTCCTAGGATAAAATTAGAATTACTAGATCCAATAGCCCCAAAATTTGTTCAATGTCATCTGCAACATCAAGACGTTTGCTAGTTAAAGATTTATGAATTGCTATTAAGACTCCTCCACCTTTTGAAAAGATACTGGATTTGGCCGACTGGTCCTGGCGATAGATGTTAATTAAAGTCACTGAAATTGCGTTCTGCGTCATAGAGGCCACTATGCAGCCATGTTTCCGTTAATAAAAATATGTCGTGATGCTCCCTGAGCTAAGATATTTTGTTGGAAACCTCTAGTGGACTCGCATTGATTTAGTTTTTTTGTATAACATGTCCCAGTAACTTAAGACGCTGATAACATCGTCGTGATCTTGATTTTGGTCTGGCAGGTTGTAGACCATAATATTGTTTACTCGGCTCTGGCGATCATGAAGTTCGGCAAGAAGGTCACTATTCAAAGGTCCAGTCTGTGGTCCAGAATTATTGCTGGTGGGAGGGATAAACTTTTGGTTTAATTCGTCCCTTAGCTCAGACTTGAGTTGATCTATTGCTGATAAGATCGATGGAACCTGAAGCAAACCTGATTGGCAATCTTCGCAAAGATATTTTAAAGTACGTTGGCCCTTCAGCTCAATGACCCGGATTTCCGATGAGTTTAAATTTGAACAAACCAGCTTGTGGATGGCCCTCTTGCAACTGTCACAGCTTGTGAGCAACTTAGTGTTCACTTTATCGATTTATACTTGGCACAAGTTATTAATGTGGCCTGAGAATTGACCAGTGTCCATGAGCAGTCCCAGATTTTTTGCTGCATCACATTCGTCTAATAGGTCAAGCAATGAAGGAAGTTTACCTCAACTCCTCAACATAATTTGAAGATAACATTTTTTTTTTTGGGGGGGGGGATCGGTCCATTTTCATGTGCTAAATAACATATTAAGTTTGCTACCTTGTACTTCCATAGGGTTTTTAGTTAGGGGTGGTTTTAGGGGGTAATTTGCGGTTTACGAAGAACGCTGCTCAAAGCGATGGTCCAATAGCAAAAAGTCTCAAATGATTGTTGTAACTGAAGTTTTTTGCTATAAAAAACTAAGCGACAGTACCCCTCTATCTTCTATAGTTTTTTTTTTCTGCAGCGTCTTGAATAGTAGCATGTTTTTGTTCAAGGTCACTGAATCAACGTTTCGCCTGTTTGCGAACATTTGATGCAGCAGCGGCCGAATGCATAATCCTATTTCAATTTTTCAAACACTACATTATTGCTAATAAAATGCACTCTCCAATGCTTTTTTGTTCGAATTTTTTGCTTGAAAATAAAGCGAACATAGACTTGCCTAATGTGCGAGGAAGTTGTAAATTGCATCGAAAACTACCCCTTTCTTGCATTCACTGTAATTTCTAAACGGGGCCAAATATTTGGTGACAGTTTTCGACAATCGGCAGCCCATTCATTCCTCTCATAATGCTCCAGCGGATTTTTTTTGTTCGTTAATTACTCAGTGACTTATTGGCCTAAACACGTCGCGAGTAATTTTTCAAAAAGTCAAAAAAAATCAAAATTGTCGCACAGCGCTGAAATTTGGTAAGATGGCTTTATTTATTGTTCTCATGAATATACTGCAATTCTAATTGTTGCAGCAGTCATGTAAAGCAATCAAAATTGCAGTATATTCATAAGAACAATAAATAAAGCCATCGTACCAAATTTCAGCGCTGTGCGACAATTTTGATTTTTTTTTTACTTTTTGAAAAATTACGCGTGATGTGTTCAGGCCAATGAGTCCTTGAGTAATTAACTAAAAAAGAATCCGCTGGGGCGTTATGAGAGGAATAAATGGGCTGCTGATTGTCGAAAACTCTCACCAAATATTTGGCCCCGTTTAGAAATTACAGTGAATGCAAGAAAGGGGTAGTTTTCGATGCAATTTACAACTTCCTCGCACATTAGGCAAGTCCGTACTCGCTTAATTTTCAAGCAAAAAATTCGAACAAAAAAGCATTGGAGAGTTCATTTCATTAGCAATAATGTGGTGTTTGAAAAATTGAAATCGGATTATGCATTCGGCCGCTGCTGCATCAAATGCGCGCAAACAAGCGAAACGTTGATTTAGTGACCTTGAACAAAAACATGCTACTATTCTATACTAAGATGCTGCAGAAAAAAAACTATAGAAGATAAAGGGGTGCTGTCGTAGAGTTTTATATAGCAAAAAGCTTCAGCTACAACAATCATTTGAAACTTTTTGTTATTGGACTATCCCTTTGAGCAGCGTTCTCCATATACCGTAAATTACCCCTAAAAACCACCCCTAACTAAAAACCCTATGGAAGTACAAGGTCGCAAACTTAATATGTTATTTAGCATATTAAAATGGACAGATCCCCCCCAAAAAAATGTTAACTTCTAATTATGTTGAGGTAAACCCTCTTTTCAGATCCCCGTTTCTTGGATTATAAGACCTGGTTGCCAGGACTTAACTTTAAAAGATTTTGGTTTTGGTCCCGGCCAAACAACAGAATTTGCGACTTAACAGGATTTATTTCTAGGTAGTGCGCTTCTAAGACCCTCTTAAGTGCCTTCAGATGGCGCGTCAATCTGTGGTTGATTATCATTATTTGATCAGGCTTAAATCAGAGATAAAGATGTTTGTCATCAGCATAATAGTGAATAATTGAGTATCGCAGACATGTAATAGAGGCAGAAAAATAGCAGCCCAATGATAGAACCTTGAGGCACGCCACATGTCATCCCCACAGGCCTTGAAAGCCTGTCACTAAGCTTGATCAATTGGTTTCGAGCAGTTAGGTATGGCCCATTATGGCCTAATGAGAAACCTTGAATCATTGTGAAATCCCAGAGAGTGGAGTATGTCTAAAAGAAGATTATAGTTGAGGCGGTCGAAGGCCTTCAACCAGTCCAAGGTAACCAAAAAAATCTATTCTTTTATGATTCCTCATTACAAATTCAAAGGGGACGTGCCTAATATTGAAGGAAACAGGATATTGTTTGTGCATTTATCAAATAAAATGTTCACAAAACATCAAGTTCTTTTATTCCACAACAGACTTACAACAATAAAATGGAGATTAATTTGTTGCTATAAGCATTTTAACAAGAAATAAGGATTGCAATTTTTTTTAACATCTAAAAATTGATGCGACAATAATTAAATAATATAAATGTTTAAGCAAGTAAAATGGAATGAGTTAAGACATAAGGATTAAGTATCTACAAAATAAATTCATTTTTTTTAGTGCCTATAAGTAATATTACACTTTTTTAGTAAAATACGTTTACTGACGGTAGTTCTTGTGAATTTCCGGCTTAATGTCGTAGACCAAAGCCAAGATGTCTTGAATCACCTAATAGAAAAAAACAATGTATTATTATACAACATTATCACTCACATGATCATTGAAATCACATGACTAATTAATTAAAAATCTAATCTCATACCAATTCCTTTTGTCCTTGCACCAATCTGTTCATCTCGGCAATTCTCAATTTGGTGTCCACATCGATTTTAGCAGCAACGTCCTCTTTGGACCCCATGTGTTTAGCTTCAAATTCACGGAATTGACGCTCACGTTCTTTGTTGTATTTTCCAATTTCCTCTTGGGCTTCTTCTTTGGCTTGCTTTAGACGTTTCACTTTGCCTGCAAAATAAAGGGCCCCATTAATTATTTGTAGATTTCAAAAGTTTAATTTGATGTTGGGGCTTCGCAGATGTAAAAAGAATTTAAAACAACATCCATATTAATTATTATTAATTAAAACAAGAAAATCCTTGTGAGAAAAAAGGATGTTTTCAGAAAAGGCCCCAAATTTACTTACGTTTACGCGCTTCAGAAACTTTTTCTGCTGCCCTCTTTTCAGCAGCCAGTAGCTGTTGGATGCCTTGCGTTTGGCTGGCCATTTTCACAAAAACTGAGAGGAAATTGGGATTTTCTAGGACGAAAAGCGACTCACGACTCGATACAAAAACTAGAAAATGGGCCAACCCAATCTGACAGTCATATGACTAGAATCGATTCTAACCGAACCTCGGCGAGTAAAAATGAAAACTTTGGCAACAATGTGAAATACATCGTAGTTTACGTCATGTCTTTTTATCTCTTTCTTATACAAGCTGGTAGAATAAGATACAGATGGTACAGACAAGCATTCAACGTCTAGTTAACACGCTTATCAAAATTATTGACACTTGACAAAGAGAACAGCTGTGGTGTGTGTAAAACAAATAAAAATAAAAATATAAATAATAATTTTTTAAAAGTAGTATTTTCCTTTAAACGACAAAGAAAATAAGTTGAAAAATAAAGAGATCCATTATTATGGTTATTATGGAGCAAGAGACCTATTACAATCAAGACAAATTTCAGGAATTATGGCTAAAAATAGACAAACTGCATCTAAGCTATTTAGAAATGGACGAGAGCCCTGACAAAATTAGACACCGGGAAAAACTTGAAGGTAACTTCTCTTTGCCTTAAATTTTTCGAGTACCTAACTGCATCATTTTCTTTCAGACTGTATTGCTGACTTCCTAATAACAGCCCAACACAGGGACAAGTTTGTCTTTACCGAAACCGAAGATGTCCTTTACAGATCGGCAGCATTTAAAAAGGACTTTAGCGGCTACAAAGCAGCCACTGGTTGGAACGCTTTGCAAATGTACGCTGCCAATCTGTTAACACAGCCTTGGAGAAAAGAGTATAGACATGTAAAGGTAAAACCAACCCAATCAGATTAATTATTTTGTCCATTCAACCCATATTTTTTTTTTGCATAGACCTACTGTGGTTTCTACAAACACCAAATTGAAGCCAATCTAATTGGAGCTGAGACAATGTTTGGAATGATGGGTTACAAACATGTTGGGAATGGTGTTTTAGTGCTGGAAGGCCCCATTTGTCCTGACAGAGTGTCCAATGTGTCTAGAGATTGTTTGGTTGCTTATATGGAGTGCCAAGTAAATTTATTTTGTTAATAATTTTAAACCTCTGACTATGATATGAACCTTGGATTTTATAACTTAACAATCATTTTTCTAAACTTTTGGTTGAGCTTAAGTAACTACATAAGAAAGATGTGTAGTGAAAAAAAATTAAGATAACATGATAGGAACATAAGGCGGGGCATTGAGTCAAACTATAAGTAATATAGAAAAAAATTGAATTTATAGGACCATATGAGTGCTAGTAATTTTGAGTAGAGTGGTAAAACCTCACTAAAGAATGATTTTTTTAAAAATTATTTGCCTTGTTGATTGAATTGAAAAAAAAAGTACAATTTACGTTATTTTCGAAAAGTGCAATAAATCAATAGATACCATTGAAGTTAGTACGAGTAAACCAGTAGAAACCATGGATAAATCAGAAGTTATTCAAAGAAATCAACAAAAAAATAAAATTATTGGACAAGTCTTGGGACAAGTATAGTGTCTGAAACAGCAGAGAACTAAGTATAGTGTCTACACAATCCAGACCAATGTTTCAAATCAGTAATTAACTGAGGCCAGGAAAAGTTATGAACATGGATTAGTCACTGCCAAAAGGCCCAAAAGAATATTTAAATATACAAGTAGGAACCTGAACTTGAAAGTAACAACAATTACTCTGAAAGATCCCATAACTATTGATGTTCTAGACAGCAATTTCATGGCTGAAAAGTTTGCCAAGAAGCTTAACTAAGCCTTCACTCAGCAGAACCTTACTTACTTTGCCCTCTATAATTTTCAGTGAAGAAGCCCTTCTGCTTCTTCAAGTACCATGTTTTCTTTGAATGTTGGCTCTCATCAGAGCTATTAGCACCTTGCCCACCTTTTCTGAAAAGTGTAGTTGTGCTAACACCATAACATTGTCTATGATTTATTAGTCATGATATTCGTCTACGGCCTGGACCTCTTTTTCCTTTAATTTTTGCCTCTATTATCAGTTTAAGGAGTTCATATTTGTCATTTCTTGAATTCAAGTTTACGTTTTTTGATAGTGAATAAAACTTCAAGCTCCTTAAGAACATCTGCGTTACATACTCTGTCCATCCAAGATATTCTGAGCATTCTACGATAGCACCACATCTCAAATGCTTCCAATTTTTTTGCTCATGACATCAGTTAATGTCTACGCCTCTACACCGTAATATAAAATGCTAAACACATAACAACGAAGCACACGAATTTGGAGAGTGCTATTAAGATCGCAACTACACAACACTGACTTCTTTTTTGTGAAAGACGATCTGGTCTGTTCGATTATTGCCCAGACCTCTTGCACGTTGTCCCAGTTTTCATTGAGCTGACAACCCAGGTATTTGTAAGAATTAACGTGTTCGACTTGTTGGCCATTGCCTTCTAATATGCCCCTAATGTTCCTTTTTTTAGCTATGACCATCCATTTTGTTTTTCGTACATTTAAGTCAAGTCCAAATTGCGACCTTGCATCTGCAACTTTATTTAGGAGCTCCTGCAGACCTTCCAGTGTATCTGCGATAACTGTGTCATCTGCATATCTTAGGTTGTTGATTTTTATGCCATTTAAAGTCAAAGCCCTCTTTGCAGTTGTGCAGTGCGTTCTCTATGATTTTATTACTGTAGATATTAAGCAACAATGGAGACAATAGACAATATTATGCAACCCTGGCGAACACCTCTCCAAATTGGAACATCTTCGGACAATCGGCCATCTGAGCGGCCATCAACCTTTATCCAAGCTGTTTGGTTCCAGTATTTCGTTGGCAATTATATTTAGGTCTCGATCATCTAGACCAACTTCTTCAAGATATTCTATGAGCTTTTCGTGCTGGACTCGATCAAATGCTTTTTCATAATCTTCTCAGAAGTTGTACTAAGACCTGAACACCAAATAAAGCCTCTCTAGTACCAAACCCTTCACGAAATCTAAACTGTGTGTCTCCCATGAACAATTCGCACTTCTCGTATATTCTTTTATGGATAATCTTTAAAAATATTTTCAGCATATGACTCATTAGGCTGATTAAACGGTAATCACTACACTTCTTTGCTGAGTGCTTTTTAGGCAGTGTAACAAAGGTTGATTTCATCCAGTCAACTGGAATTTTACCGCTGCAATAAATCAAGTTAATTAGTTTGACCAGCGTATTTAACGAATTTTTTTTCTTTAGAAGTTTTAAAACTTCCGTGTACTTATACTTCGTCTTCTGCTTTTCTGGTTCTAGCCAAAGATATTGCGGGCTGAACTCCTGTAATATCTTTTTTGTTTCCTGAGGAAGATTATTCAATATTTTTGTACCTTCAAATATAATTGAGTGCTTGGTTAGGCTAAGCTTTGGGATTGGTAATGGCAAATTTTAGTTTCTCAAGTTGTGAAGTTCCGGTCTAGAATAGTTTCAAAACTTTTCGACTATTAAACTGGCCACTTTCAAGATGAAAATACACGGAACAGTCATTATCTGCTCCTGCTTGAAAAGAGGCCTACAGCTTTCCCGACGATTTACCCTACACAAATAACGCAGAGCTCGTTTCTGACAGATAAACACCGAGATAAACAGTTATTTATTTATTTATTTATTTATCAACGGCAACCCATTTTACAACTTTACAGCTTTAAAGCTGATTCTAACAATTAAACAATTTAATATACTACATGAAACATCTACAAATTGGACTATCACATCTGCCAACAAAATATAAAATATAAAGTATTAAATATAAAATATAAAACATAAAATATAAAATATAAAAAAGACCTATACAACTTCCAAATTTAAGATTCCCATCTTTATATTTTTTCCTTGCTTTTTTTGAAAATCTACCTATAATATCACAGTTGTTTCAGACAATTCTTTAGTTTCATTTCGGATACATTAAATAAGTCAACTTGTAACTCCATTTGTAATTCATTAAAATTTTTCATCATTCTATCAATTGTCGCATTTTGGCCATAACGAGTACGATGTTGATTGACTTCAAAAGTTTTGTGTCCACGCAAAGTTCTAGGAGGCACATGAAAATTAAGTTTTGCCAAAATATACGAGCCATGAACCATGAACAACCCTATATAGGGTCATAATGTCTGCATTCCGCCTTCTTTTATCCAATGTTTGTAATTTAAGTAAAATTTCCAAGTCTCTATAAACAATATTATCTCTAGGGATATTTAATTTGTAAGCAATATAACATAAACATTTTCTTTGAACTGATTCTATTTGGTTAATGTGAACCTGGAAGAATGGAGACCACACAACCGTGCAACTTTCAAGTTGCGATCTTACTAGCGATGTATATAAAGTAACTAAGGCGTTTATATTATAAAAATCTTTGGTATTGCGCTTAATAAATCCTAACAATTTTAAAGCCTTACTCCTACAAAATTGAAAGTGTTTAAGCAAATACATCTTAGAATCGAACAAGATACCCAAATCACGAATCAATTCAACATTTTCAACCAGATTGTTATTCAAATAATAATCATTGACTGCTACATTCAAAGATCTTGAAAAACAAATATATTTACATTTACCAGTGTTTATGAACATATTATTTTCAATGCACCATGCACAAAATCTATCCAGATCCTTCTGCATTTCAAAAACATCTAGAGTGGTTTTAATGGACTTAAAAATCTTCAGATCATCCGCAAACATTAAGAATTCACAAAAGTGAAAACATTTTGAAATGTCATTGACAAATATATTAAATAATATTGGAGCAATATGCGCCCCTTGAGGCACACCTGATGTTACGTTTATAGGACATGAATAAAAATTCTTTATTTACGACTAATGTATAATGTGCGTATTATATTTGTGATTTTGGCAGTATAATGACATATGTTATTCCTCCAGGGATTAATGACGAGTAGCGGGATTAATGGTCATTATTCCACAAAAGTGTCAGTGTCAAACGTGTAGTGCTCGTGCATTTGTATTGAAAATTATGAGACGGATGAAATTTGTTCATTGAAAATCTCAAATAAATTAATTTGTCGTAAATAAAGTAGAGTATACTACTTGCAATAATGGCTATTATTATTGACTCGTGGTATTATCTACTATTATTTTAACCATCTGTATTCGATCTAGTAAATAAGAAGTAATCCATGAAAGAAATGTACCATGAATACCAATATTCGACAATTTTGCTATTAACAAATCATGGTTGACCTTGTCAAATGCCTTGGAAAAGTCAGTATAGACAGAATCTACTGTCATACCCTGCTCCAAGGCACCGACAATGTAATCATGATATATAATGAGATTGGTGTTAGTTGACCGCCCTGAATAAAATTCATGCTGATTCGGAATTATAATATTACTCAATTGCGAATTTAGAAAATCTGTTATAATAGAATCAAACATTTTTGGAATCAAAGAAAACTTAGTAATAGGACGATAATTAACAATTTCATCCTTATTTCCTGAATTTTTAAATATAGGGCTAACAAATGATGTTTTCCAGACTGCAGGAAAAACACCCTTACATAACGAGGAGTTAAAAATTAGCCATAAAGGTCTCGACAATGAAAAAGCTCAATTACGAAGAAATTTTGGTGAAATATTATCGGGACCACAACATTTATCTAGTTCAATATTTTCAAGTTTTGTAAGAATATCTGAAATCTTTATAATATGTGAACCAATGTTTAAATTTATATTAACATTATTCCCATAAACGCCATTAAAATTTTTATATCTATTATTAGACAATGTAGGCTCATAAACTGACTGAAAATGTTTTGCAAATAAATCAGCAATCTCTTTGCTATCTGAAGTTATTTGGTATGTATGTGTCCTTTCTTTTATTTTGTACAAATTTCCAAAAATATTTTGGATTTCCAGTTATACTTTCTTCCACATTCGTTATATAATCACTAAAACATTTTTGAGTTTGTATTTTACATAATTCTCTTAAATCACTAAATAGTTTATAATCACTTGATTTTCTAGTTTGTTTAAATTTTTTATGAGCTTCTTTTTTTTTGAATATGTTAC